CCGTATCCCCTCCGTGCGTCTGGTGACCGCTCTCGCGCCCCGCCTTCAGGTCGGGCAGCCCCCCGCCTGAAGCTTCTGGAGGCAAGGCCCCTGTGTCCCTCGGCATGCCCCATCCCGCGGCGGGGTGCGCGGCCCTCGGCCCTCGGAAGAAGCTGGGCGGCCCCGGGCGGCCCCGGGGCCGAGCGGCCGCGTCGGTGCAGCGGTTGTGAGCAAGATGCGGGAGCACGTGACCCTGGGACGCAGACCCTGATGCCGGTTCCCCGCCACCCGAGCGCTCCCTTCTCTGACACTTGGCCCCACGCAGATGCATCACAGGTGAGTGGGGAGTGGGGCTCCAGCGCCGGTGACTGACGTCTCTGGAAGCCATCTGGCAAGTGTCTGCGCTGGGTGTCTTTGTCTTGGTGCTGCTGGGAAGGCTACAGGTGTGGTTTGCAAGCCCCCAAGGGAACGGGAAATCCAGAAACTCGTATTAGGTTGCACGTACTCGCCTTCGTCCTAATTTACTCCGCATGTGAAAAGTTGTTCCCAATAGCCACACGTTTATTGTTGGCTCGTTGACACCTCTTTTCTGTCTTTCACTTATTCGGGCGGCTAATAAGAACACACTGGTTGCCAACGTGTGTTCTTAGCTCTTCGTCGGGCTTGCCCTTGAGTTTTGCTGTTAATTGTATGGCAGGGATGGTAGAGTGAGGAACCAAATTCCTAATTCTGCAGGCTTCATGCTGATTGTTTAAAGTACTTTAAGGTACCTGCCTGTACAATACCAAAAAAATCGTTGTATTTTGTTTTTTTCAGGGCCATTTCAAAGGCTATATGTTTAGAATGAGGGAGATAAAACACGAATTCATTGAAATTATTGAAACTTCATTGCAATTTGCAAAGTGACTACATTTCTTTCCCTGTTGCCCAGGCTGGAGTGTAGTTACCTGATCAGAACTCACTGTAGTCTCAAACTCCTGGACTCAGGGGATCCTGACCACAGGTGTATGCCATCATGGGAGGCTAATTTTTAAAATTTTTTCTAGAAACGGAGGTCTCCCTGTGTTGTCCAGGGTGGTCTCCAACTCCTGGCCTCAAGTGATCCTCCCGCTTCTGCCTCCCAAAGTGTTGGGATTACAGGCATGAACCACTGTGCCTGGCCAAAGTGGCTGCATTTCAATTAGTTTCTTACAAGTCATTCTAAGAGCAAGATGTGAAGTCAGTGACTGGCAGATGGTTTTCGAAACACACAAGTAAACCGTCAAAGTGTATAGGAAATGATTTTTACCACAAATGAGTCTGGAAGAAGAGAGAGCTTAGTATCTTGGTTCTTGCCTGTCTTCCAAGATTGCTTCTTAGAATCCCCTGTGAGAAAAGTATTTGGGGTAGATTCACTTGAGAAGGAGAAAGTCTTGTGAGGATCATATCGTACATTCCCGTCATCTGCTTTCTCTCTGTGGGTTACTAGTTACCTTTGGTTTATGACTGCTGAGGTCATCACATTTTAGTGACTCACAACAAAGCAGAAATCTGCTGAGCCTCTCGCGTTAAACCCTGGTTTGAACTGGTTTGAGAAGGCCTAGGACTCAACCTAGAAACACCATTTTGATTTTTATCTTGGCATTAGATACATAGATTAATATTCAGGAATTTTCAGAATTAGAGTTGAAGCTACAGACTTTTAGTTGTACTTTAAAAAAATTATTGTAACCAATTTGTTGTAGACTTTAGTGATTGTAGTGTTTTGGTAACTGTTGTAGCTCTAAAGAATTCTGGGAAAAGTCCATTTGAAACCAGTATTAGCCCAGAAACTTTCAAAATTAAGGTAGCTATGTTTTCTTTAGGCTACAGGATTTTTTGCACTCTTTTATGCCATAATGAAAGCCTATTACTAATGTGCTGTCCTTCATTAGGTGTACCTCATCTGCTCTGTGTTTTCTATCTTTCTGGTAAGGACAGTGAGTTTGCATTGCTCTATCCAGTCACAAAAAAAAAAAAAAATTTCATAGTGCCTGTTCTGTACAAGGTGCTGTATTAGGTTGGCCCTGTACGTTTCATTGACTTTTGAGAGCTTAGTTTGTGGAATACCTGGCCAGTGATAAGGGTGAAGCCTATGAATATAGAATAAGGCAGGAAACAGGACTATGGAATTTTAAATATATCTCACAATATAGACAGGTCCTCATGTACTAGAACTGGGTAAAAGACAAAATAGTTCTTTCATTGTAATTGTCTTTAAGAGCTTGGATTTCTTCAGTTAGATCTGAATTTAAATCCCAACTCTGCTTCTTACTAGTTATGTGATTCTGGGTTATATTTCTTAGCTTCTCTGAATCTTAGTTTCCTCATCTTTATAATGGGATTAAGAATAATACCTACCTCACAGTGGTTATGAGGATTAGGAGAGATAGTTACATGTAAATCACTTAACCCAGTGCCTACCTAGCACATGGTAAGGGGGGTAAAGTTTGGCTATTATTATTTTCAGGTTGATTGATAAATGGCATCGCCGTCTTTCAGAATTAAAAACCTGTTTCAGTTTGCTTTCACTTCTAAGGAATATGTAGCCTCATTTGATTCCTCTACCCTGCTTTACCCCTCCCAGATACATTGGCATGCAGAGAAGGCAGTATTACTGTGATACCCAGTGTAAGGAGACTGGAAATCGTTAGAGACCTTGGGGTAGCCTGCTGGCAAGCCTTTTACAACTATAATGTTTATAATATGGCAGACTCTAAATTCTGATATAGGAACTAATGCTTTTTTATAACCCCAATAATGTCTTGTTCAAATGAGTATTACTTTTATTTTATAATTTTTTTGAGTTGAAGTCTCACTCTGTCACCCAGACTGGAGCACAGTAGGCTGCTCCCGTCCACCACAGCCTTGACCTGCTGGGCTCCAGTGATCCTCCCGCCTCAGCCTTCCAAGTAGCTGGAACTATAGGTGCGCGCTACCACGCCTGGCTAATTTTTTTTGATTTATTGTAGAGATGAGGTCTCGCCAAGTTGCCTAGGCGGGTCTTGAACCCTTGGGCTCAGGCAATCCACTCACCTCAGCCTCCCAAAGTGCGGGATTATAGGCTGAGCCACCGAGCCCGGCTTACTTTTATTTTTAAGACATGTTTAATGGCAGTGCAAGATGGATTGCATAGCAAAGGTGATTCCTAAATTCCTCAGCCTGCTAAAAATGTTCTGTAGATTTAAGAAAGTTTGGTGCATGAAAAAACTTTTTGTCAAAAATTAGCCAGGCATGGTAGCATATACCTGTAGTTCCAGCTACTTGGAAGGCTGAGGTGGAAGGATCGCTGAAGCCCAGTAGGTCGACGCTGGGGTGGCTGTGAGTGTGCCTGCCACTGCACTCCAGCCTGGGCGATAGAGTGAGACTCCAACTCAAAAAAAAAAAAAACTTTTTGGCAATATTTTCCAAAATGATCCGTACTCCTTTACATAATTGCTGTGTGATTTGGGAGCATATGGCATGTCCTCTTTGAGCCATAGCTCACTCATTTACCTTACATTGCAGAATTGATGTGAGAATTTGAAGTAATTTTTTATAAGTTTACATAATGAACTTCCATATGTGAGAATATTAAGATTATTGATTATTTGTTAAGATAGCGATACAGAATGTTAATAAAATCTTCATTCACGAGGAAAATATGGTGTCTTTCACATCATTGATAATTTGAATCAGACCCATTGTCACTTCAACTCCTGGCAAGAATGATTAGCAAAAATTGTTTGAATAGGTTAAAACAAACTGACTAAAAAACCACTGGTTTGGGTTGGGTACAATTGCTCATACTTGTAGTCCCAGCACTTTGGGAGACCAAGGTAAGAGGATTGCTTGAGCCCAGGAGTTCGAGACCAGCCTAGGCAACATATCGAGACTTCGTCTCAACAAAAATTAAAAAATATATAAGCCAGGCCCCCCTGTAGTTCCAGCTACTGGGGATGCTGAGGCAGAGGGATCACCTGAGCCTAGGAGGTCAAGGCTGCAGTGACCCATGATCATGCTATTGCACTCCAGTCTGAGCAACAGAATGAGACCCCCAATCAGAACAAAACAAAACACTACTGGTTTGAAGTAGAAGTCCAATTGAAGAAAATAAATATTGTAAAAGGAAGAGGTTGGGTAACTTACAAAAACATACTGTCATTGCCAATGTGCCCTGAGGATCGCAAACTTTGCTTTAGATGGTGTGCATAGGGTTTGGAACAGGGCAGTTCTTGAGTTCAATCTTGTTTCTGCTATGTGAAATTGACTTCAGTTTGTTGATGTCTCTGAATCCCAGTGTCCTTATCTATGGAAAAGAGCATGGCACTAGCTATCTCAGGTATTTGCTAGCATAAAAATGCAGTAATAGTTGGCCACCTCCCATTTCCCCATCCCCACTGTTTCAGGTTCTTCAGTGTCTTAACACAAAGTCACTAAGGTAATTTCTTGCATAGCTAAATGTGTATGCTGTTTTCTAGGATGAATGAAATGAACCTGAGCCCAGTGGGGATGGAGCAGCTGACTTCATCCTCTGTGAGCAATGCCTTGCCAGTCTCAGGAAGCCACCTGGGCTTGGCTGCATCACCCACTCACAGTGCCATCCCTGCCCCAGGTGAGTGGTCAGAGAGAACCCTGCATTTCAAAGCTTGACTGCATTATCACTTCTAAATGGAGCCTAGAGGAGATTGGAGTCCCTTTAAGGGTGGAAGGGGTAAGCCGAGCAGGCCTAAATGGCGGTTCCACACGTAGATAATGGAAGAAACCGTTTTTGTAGAGTGCTGGAGTTCTGGTGGATAGAAGGAGTTTTTTCTGATAGTCCTCTTGGGTTCATAACGTTTTGTCCAGTGCTGTGATTAACTTGGAATTTTATTAGGGTTACTAATAAGGTCTGGTTCACACCTAGCACCCTGTCCCTGGGTTAATGGAAGAGAATTAGTAAAAGTTACTCTAACTATTCCCAGAAGGCATGGGGAGGTTGGCTTATTTTCTACCAGGTTTGAAAATGAATGGCAACACCTGCAAATGCACCAGGCTTAGAATTATGGGGAAAGAGGTGTGGTGTCAGAGAGGGAGCTGCTGTGTGGAAATCTCCATGAGCCTCCAGACTCAGCAGAATCGTATTGGAATAACTCATTCTTCCCCATTGCTGTAGTTTCAAAATCTTTTTTTCTGCCTAGTTTCATTTTCTTTTTCTGTTGAAATGGAAAAGAAATGAGTAAGCTATTGACTCCTACAGTGGTAAACTGTTGATTCCTTTTTTTTTTTTGAGTTGGAGTCTCACTCTGTCGCCCAGACTGGAGTGCAGTGGCCGCTCTCGGCCACCGCAGCCTCGACCTGCTGGGTTCTGGCGATCCTTCCGCCTCAGCCCCCCGAGTAGCTGGAACTACAGACACATGCTACCATGCCCGGCTAATTTTTGACTTATTGTAGAGATGAGGTCTCGCCAAGTTGCCCAGATGGGTCTCGAACCCGCAGGCTCAGGCAATCCACTCACCTCAGCCTCCCAAAGGCGCGGGATTACAGGCTGAGCCACCAAGCCCGGCTAACCTGTTGATTCTTAAGGATCTGTGACAGTGTGATATATTGGACTTTATCAAAATAGGAGTTAATGTTTAGGAGTATTTTTAATAAATGTATAAGTTTAAATAGTTCTCTGTAGAGAATTACCTGCTTAATTAGTAAAATAAAGCAGTTAAATAAGATTCATTTAAACTAGGGTTTCTTCACATTCCTTTGTGTTCACAAAAGAAACTTTTTAAAAAAAACAGTTAGTTGTTAACCCATTTGATTGTCTCTTAGGCATTCCTTTTCATGGACACTCTTGTTTAGGAGGAAAGCCTGTTAATTATTGCCTCTGGCAAAAATATGCAAATCAGCACTATCCAAGATGATGAGTTTTCATTATGGTACATAGGCACTTGTAAGAGTCACCTTAACACCTTGCAAATAGATATAATCCAAGGTAGATAGAATCTGAGGTTTAGATTTTTTTGTTAATCATGAATTACAGCATGTATACAAAAGGCTATATGAAAGCTTATAGGCTTTATATAGGCTAGGCATGGTGGCTTTCTCCTATAATCCCAGCACTTTGGGAGGCTAAGGCTGGAGGATTGCTTGAGCCCAGGAATTCGAGACCAACTTAGGCAATATAGCGAGACCTCGTCTCTACAGAAAAAAAAAATTTAAAATTAGCCAAGTATGGTGGTGTATGCTTGTATTCTCAGCTACTTGGGAGATTAAGGTTGAAGGATCCCTCAGTCCAGGAGGTAAGACTGCAGTGAGCAGTGATCACACCACTGCACTCCCCTGCAATGTCTTGAGCAACAAAGTGAGATTCTAACTAAAAAAAAGTATATATGTACAGTTTTACATCTAACTTTAAATTAGATTATTTTCCAAGTAGAAGTGAAATATTCTCATATAAAATGGAAAATAGAAATTATAAAATTTAAAAATGTAAAAAAGAAGGCATAATGTCAATATCACCACTCAGGGCTCCCTCCTGTGAACATTTTGTTATATTGTCTTTTTTTTTCTGTATATAATTTGTTTTCTTAAATTGTATTTAAACTAGGCTTTTTTTTTGAGTTGGAGTCTCACTCTGTCGCCCAGACTGGAGTGCAGTGACCGCTCCCAGCCACTGCAACCTCGACCTGCTGGGCTCCGGTGATCCTTCCGCCTCAGCTTTCCGAGTAGCCGGGATTACAGGCATGCGATACCACGCCCGGCTGATTTTTTTATTTATTGTAGAGATGAGGTCTCTCCCAAGTTGTCCAGGCGGGTCTCGAACCCGTGGGCTCAGGCAATCCACTCACCTCAGCCTCCCACAACGCAGGATTACAGGCTGAGTCACTGAGTCTGGCTTAAACGAGGCTTTTTATTGCAAATTAAATGTTTTGGTTTTTAAGAGCAGTACAGACAACTGGAGGATCAACTCGGCAGTTTAAAACTAACTTTGGGACTCGAAGTACTTTATTTAGTGCTAGTTGTGAATGTTTGTTCATCATTATGTATCTAGGATAAAAAGGACTACTAAGTGAGATTTTTGCCCATATGCAAAAAGCTTTCTAAGAGTTTAGCCAGTGGTAATAGAGATTTAATAAGTACTTGCTTTCTTTTAATTGAGATAAAATTTTTTTTGCAGGCTTGCCAGTGGCAATTCCAAACCTGGGTCCCTCCCTGAGCTCTCTGCCTTCTGCTTTGTCTCTGATGCTTCCAATGGGTATTGGAGATCGAGGGGTGATGTGTGGATTACCTGAAAGAAACTACACCCTTCCTCCCCCACCTTACCCTCACCTAGAGAGCAGTTACTTCAGAACCATTCTACCTGGTAAGTTTATCATTATTTGGGATGTTAGGAAAAAAGGAATAGAGCCAGCTTTTGATGTCGGTTCTTCAAGATTTGAATAACACTTTTTTCTTTTTGTCACTATTAGGCATTAATCTCTAGATAGGAAAAAAACAATCTTTTTTTAAAAAATCTTTGTTTATATTTACATACTTTGCCTCTTAGAATGTTCATGTAACACATTTTTTTTTTAAATTTGGAGTCTCATTCTGTCACCCAGGCTGGAGTGCAGTGGCACACTCACGGCCACCCCAGCATCTACTTGCTGGGCTCCAGCAGTCCCTTCCACCTCAGCCTTCCAAGTAGCTGGAACTACAGACAGGCGCCACCACGCCTGGCTATTTTTTATTTTATCGTAGAGACCAAGTTGCCCAGGCTGGCCTCAAACCCACGGGCTCAGGCAATCCACTCACCTCGGCCTCCCAAAGTGCTGGGATTACAGGCTGAGCCACCAAACCCGGCCTATATAACACATTATTAATATAGCAGTTTGACTAAGTTAAATTTCTTAATTTCACATAAATAATTTTTCTCCTCCAGCATTTTCTTTGTTCAGTATTAATAATTCTGCAAGTACAATTTCTACCAACCACCACAGTGTCATTGTTTTTTTAAGTTTATTGAGTTTTTATTTGTTACGGAAGTATTATAATTCATTTAATAAAATTTAGCAAATAAGAAGGGAAGAGAACCACTTAGCCCCATCATCCATCTTTTTGGTGTACTTCCCCTCTTTTATTGTGGTGTATAGGTTTTTACTGTTTTTCATTATTGAGGCCGTACTTTTTTCTTTTTTTTAAGCGACGAGGTCTGGCTATGTTGTTCAGGCTGAACTTGCACTCTTGGGCTCAAACAGTCCTCCCACTTGGGCTTCCCAAGTAGCTGGGACTATAGGTGTGTGCCACTGCACCCTGCTTAAGACCATAAGACCATACTTTCTACACAATTGCTTGTCTTTACTTTTTTCACTTAATAATTTTCTCTGTTTTTGCATAGTTATTTTTCTTTGCTGATACATGGCTTTTATAATTATCCTTTTTAATGAATCCTTTGCATTCTACTGAAGATATTTGATGGTTTATTAATCTTTATTGTCGGACAGCTTTGCTTTTCCAGTTTTTTTTATTACAGTTTTAACTAATGCTCTTATGAATGTCTTTGTGTATAATTACAAAATGCATTAGAGAAGATTATCATAAGTGGAATTTCTTACGCAAGAGAGTATGAACATTTTTGAGGTTCTTAATGTATGTACTTTGAAAGAAATTTTAGTAATTTATATTTCCATGGTGAGTGCAGCAAGTACCATTTCACCACATTCTCCCAAACATGAGTGTTAAGGTTTTTTTAGTTTAATAAAGCAGGTACAATTGTCACTTGTTTTGAATCGTTTAATGTGTTATGATAGTTTCATAAGTTAAAGCTTAATAATATTTAACTGTGTTTTGGACAGCCCCTTCGGGTCTCCTCCCACTGTGGGAACTTTTCTATCTTCTCAATAAATCCTACTTTAAAATATATATATATATTTAGCTATGTTTTATTTTATATTGAGTGTCAGCTTTTAAATCATTTCACTTTTTAATAATTAGTAAAGTAAACTTTGACTACTTAAGACTTAGGAATTATAACTATGTATATACTGAATTAAAGCAGAGTTTATTTTTATTTTTATTTTTATTTTTTTTTTGAGTTGGAGTCTCACTCTGTCGCCCAGACTGGAGTGCAGTGGCCGCCCCCGGCCACCACCGCCTCGTCCTACTGGGCTCCAGCGATCCTTTCACCTCAGCCTTCCAAGTAGCTGGAACTACAGGCGTGTGCTACCACACCTAGCTAATTTTTTGATTTATTGTAGAGATGAGGGCTCACCAAGTTGCCCAGGTGGGTCTCGAACCCATGGGCTCAGGCTATCTATTTCCCTCAGCCTCCCAAGGCGCGGGATTGCAGGTTGAGCCACCGAGCCCAGCTTAAAGCAGAGTTTAAATGAATCATTTCTAGTCAGCTTCAAAGGAATATAGTTAACTTTTTAGAATTTCTTAATTTTACAGGAAAAACCTCAATTATGGTATATGTATGTTGCTGTATATAAAGTATACATATTGATTAAAGAAGTAGATTGTTTTATCTGTTATTTTGCAAGGAAAATAGCTTCAAATACTTAGAATTCTTTGTATTTGACAATGTACTAAAAAGTTGCTGATATCTGATCTTTTTCTTTTCTCAGGCATTTTATCTTATTTAGCTGACAGGCCACCTCCTCAGTACATCCACCCTAACTCTATAAATGTTGATGGAAATACAGCATTATCTATTGCCAATAACCCTTCAGCACTAGATCCCTATCAGTCCAATGGAAATGTTGGGTTAGAAACAGGCATTGTTTCACTAGACTCTCGCTCTGTGAATGCACATGGTGCCCAAAGTCTTCATCCCAGTGATGGCCATGAGGTGGCCTTGGACACAACAATCACTATGGAGAATGTTTCTAGGGTTACCAGCCCAATCTCTACAGATGGAATGGCAGAGGAGCTTACAATGGATGGCGTTGCAGGCGAGCATTCCCAAATCCCCAACGGCTCCAGAAGTCATGAATCTCTGTCTGTGGATTCTGTGAGCAACAACTTGGCAGCAGACACTGTAGGACATGGTGGTGTGATACCCATTCATGGGAACGGCCTGGAGCTTCCTGTGGTCATGGAGACAGACCACATTGCAAGTCGGGTTAACGGGATGTCTGACAGTGCTCTCAGTGACTCCATCCACACTGTGGCCATGAGCACCAACTCCGTAAGCGTGGCACTTTCTACCTCACACAGTCTTGCCTCCCTAGAATCTGTTTCCCTCCATGAAGTTGGCCTCAGCCTAGAACCTGTGGCTGTCTCCTCCATCACCCAGGAGGTTGCTATGGGAACAGGTCATGTAGATGTATCTTCAGACAGCCTTTCTTTTGTACCACCTTCACTGCAAATGGAAGACTCCAATTCCAACAAGGAAAACATGGCAACCTTGTTTACAATTTGTGAGTGTGCTTAGTCTTTCTCTTTTGGAAATATTGATAAAATGGGCCATAATCCCTAACAAGTCACATGGTTTGGCATTGATTAAGGGAGTAGAGAAACTAGACTTTGGAATTTTTCTTTGCCTTTGTCCTTTATATTAATTGTAGTACCTTTTCTTCAAGTAAGCCAAGTGACATAAAAACATTTAGTTGTTTCTTATATTATCTTCCTGAAGAAATGAAATGTAACAACATTTTTGTATTTTACAGATAAGCTAAGGATTATGGGCACACACTAGGTGCGATGGTGTGTACCTGTAGTCTCAGCTACTTAGGCTGAGACAGGAGGATTGCTTGAGCCCAAGAGTTCAGGGCTAGAGTGCACAGTGGTCATACCTGTGAATAGCCACTGCAGTCCTGCTTGGGCAACATAGGAAGACTCTTGTCTCTTAAAAAAAAAAAAGTAAAATATGGAAGGATCACCTGAGCCCAGCAGGTTGAGGCTGTGGTAAGCCATGATTGTGCTGTGCCACTGCACTCTAGCCTGGGTGACAGAGTGAGACTCTAACTCAAAAAAAAAAGTAAAATAAGCCAGGTTCAGTGGCTCAGCCTGTAATCCCGCACCTTGGGAGGCTGAGGTGAGTGGATTGTCTGAACCCACGGGTTCGAGACCCGCCTGGGCAACTTGGTGAGACCTCATTTCTACAATAAATAAAAAAATCAGCCGGGTGTGGTAGCGCGCGGCTGTAGTTCCGGCTACTTGGAAGGCTGAGGTGGAAGGATCGCCGGAGCCCAGCAGGTTGAGGCTGCGGTGGCCGGGAGTGTGCCACTGCACTCCAGTCTGGGCGACAGAGTGAAACTCCAACTCAAAAAAAAAAGTAAAATAAAAGATAAACTCGGCACAGTAAAAAACCCAGTTTTACAAATAGAAAGTTATAAGAGTAAACTTCAGTAAAGCTATTCTTTGTAAAATGCCTTGTCCTTTTCCAACTAGGTCTAAAAATAAGATTATTATATCACTTTTATAACCCACAGAAAAATGTATGTGAATATAAATTCATTTTTTTTCCTTTTCTCAGAATGTATATAAATTTCCGTAGTTAAACATGTAACATTTTTTCTTGTTGGGCAGTAACAAAAAGGAATATAAAAACAGTTGATTTTTGGTGTCATTACATGCTTCTTTCATGCAGGACACATGTTGAGTGCTTGCTATATGCAAGCAACTTTGCTAGACGCTAGCAATAGAATGGTCTATCAAGAGACAGTGCATATACATACCTATAATGAGCTTATAGTCTGACAGCAAGTATAGTCAAGTAAACAGGCTATCTCAGGATGGGGTTAGGTGCATGGTACTAAAGTAGCTTTAAGGAAAACATCTAACTAGGCCATGGAAGGGTCCGGGAAGACTTAGGAAAAATAAAATACATATTAGCATAAACCTAAAAGGCAAGAATGATGTAGGCAACTCCTGGCAGGAACATAGGACTTGGCACCTGCAAGTGATTAGAACTAAAAGAATCATGAGTGGCCCATGCTTTTGTTTCCCTAAGCTTTGGCTCCCTCCCTTGCCTTGGGGAGGTGAATCTACTTTTTTTCCACTCTATAATCTATTTTTTAAATAAACTGTGTTTTCCAGTCTAAAAAAAAAAAATAATCATGAGTGGTTTAGAATTGCTGAAGCATAAAGTGGGGGCGAAGGAGGAGTCACATGGTAAGAGAGAAGTAGGGGCCAAAACACTGTCTTCTAAGACCAACTGGGCTTTAAGGAATGAAGGGTGGGGTGGGGTTCTGCTACAACATGAGGATAAATTTGTTAGAGACAAGTAGATCTGGAAGATGATTACCATAATTTAAGTGAATAGTGATGATTTTCCAACCTAGAGTAGATATCATTAGGATGAGGAAAATTGTAGAATATATCTAGAAAACTCAGTTGAGCTAATTGGATGTAGTTGGGGGAAGAAAGAATTAAGGAGAAAACCCTGGTTTCTAGTGGTCAGAAACTAGGGAGATAGGATAATGAAAGGTGGAGGGAGATTAGGGTTTTCTTTGGAGTGATGGTGAGTCCAGTTTTAGACATGTTGATTTCATTGTGTATAAGATGCACAATAGAGATGTCTAATGAAAAGTTGAGTGTGGAGCTCAGAAAGAGTCTTTCTGTCTGGAATACTTGGGGATCATCATTATTAGCATGCTGACCATGGCTGTAGAAGTGGAATGAAATCATCTAGTAAGAGTGTGTTATGAAGAAAGGGCTAGGGATACCAAGATATAGCGCACAGGAAGAGCTTCCAAATAGACTGAACAGGAAGGCCAAAATAGAAGAACCACAGGACAGTGTGGTGCTACAGAAAAGCCTGGCAGTGGAGAGACCCATGTTAGCCTTATAAAGTCTCAAATGTAGAATTTTTAAGTATTTTAATCATACTGGGCTTGGTGGCTCAGCCTGTAATCCCAGCACTTTGGGAGGCCGAGGCGAGTGAATTTCCTGAGCCCGCGGGTTCAAGACCAGCCTGGGCAACTTGGCGAGACCTCGTATCTACAATAAATTTTTTAAAATTAGCCGGGCGTGGTAGCGTACGTCTGTAGTTCTGGCTACTTGGAAGGTTGAGGCAGAAGGATTGCCAGAGCCCAGCAGGTCAACACTGGAGTGGCTGTGAGTGTGCCACTGCACTCCAGCCTGGGTAATGGAGTGAGACTCCAACTCAAAATATATATATATATTTTAATCCAAGAATGTAATTAATATAAGCAACATTAATTTATCAGAAGACAAGAGGAGGCCTAAATAAGCCCAGAGTCTTTGCTAAGTGGACAAGCAAGAAAGCCTAAATAAGCGCAGAGTTTTTCCTAAGTAGGCGAGCAAAACCTCTTCTAAGTGTTTTTAAATGAAATATGATTTATATATATTTTGAAGTGTACAGTTATATAGATTTTGAAGTGTACAGTTTAGTGGGTTTTAGTATATTCACAGGATTGTACAACCATTGCCACTAATTCCAATTCATTTTAATCACCCTATAAAGAAACCTCATACTCCTTAGCAGTCACTCTCCATTCTCTTCTACCCCCCTTCCATTCGTAGGCAGCCACGAATCTGCCTTCTGTCTCTGTTGATTTGCCTATTCTGGATTGTTCATATAAATGGAATCATACGGTATGTGCCCTTATGTGTCTCTGTGTCTCACTTTTTTCCCTTAGCATAATATTATTATGGGTCATCATGTTATAGTATGTATCAGTACTTTAGTAGCTGAATAATCTAATACAGATATACCACTTTTTAAATCCATTTATCAGTTGATGGACTTCAGAATTGTTTCCACTTTTTGGCTGTCATGAATAATGCTGCTGTGAACCCTCATGGGCACATTTTTATATGACTGTGTATTTTTGGATATATACTTAGGAGGAGAATTATGCTATGTTTAACTTTTTGAAGGACTGCCAGACTGTCTTCCCAAGTGACTGTGCCATTTTATAATCCTAGCAACAGTGTATGAGGGTTCCAGTTTTTCCACATATTTGCCAATACTTAATTTATTTCTGGGCCATAGCCTTGCTAGACTCTGGTATGGCCATGTGCTCTTTGAGCTATGGCTGTCGCCATGCTTCCTGGCTTTGGCCCCCTCCCCCACCGTGGAGAGGTGAATCTTCTCTCTCCCTTCTCTTTCTCTCTCTAATTTACTTTTAAATAAACTATATTTTTTAATCTAAAAAAATTTTAAAATTAAAGTCATCCTAGTGGTATGGAATGACATCTCGTGGTTTTGTTTTGTTGTTTGTGTTGAGAGACATGGTTCAGTCTATTTGGAAGCTCTTCCTCTGCTGCTGTATCTTAATATCCCTAGCCCGCTATTCATTCCACACTCTTTACTATTTCATCACAATTCCATAGCCCGATTAGCATTTCAATGTTGGTGATCTCTAAGTATTTCCAGACAAAACGGTTATTTCTAAGCTCCACACTCAACTCAGTGTTTCCCATGCTGGACTTGAACACCTGTCTCAGCCTCCTGGGTAGTGTGTACCACCACACTCGATTTCATTTAGTTTTGGTTTGCATTTTTCTAATGACTAGTGGTATTAAATATCTTTTCTGTACTTATAAGCCATTTATAATCTTCTTTGGAGAAACTTCTAAGCATTTCTTGCAGTATGAAATCTGAATTTCCTTTGTTTGGAAGTGATTCCCTTAAGAGCGCTGGAGAGTCAGTTCTCATTATATGTAGAGGATCTCTAATCTGATAATTCAAATTTTTAATCAAGTAGTTGAATAAGTAATATATTATTACTGTTTTGCAAAAATATGAAAAATTATCAATATTTTATGCTACTTAAATAGAAATTTTTAGTGCACTTCTTAAGAAAATAAGACAGCTAGATGGTTATGGTTTGAAGGTTTATATATTCCAACTATTTTGTGGAAGAATTTGGAAAATTTGAACTCAATCATTGACTGATGGTATCATAAATACTTTTCCTTAGCAGAGAGAAAGAAAAGTATAAAGAACAGAACAAAAGATTTATGGAGATGGACACTCATAATCTTGTAAAAGTGAAGTTGTAAAAATAGAGAATGTGACAATAAGAAATGAAGAATTTTTAAGCAAATAATGCCTGCAAAATATGATTCTACCTGCCCCCTCACTGCAGACTCAAACTCCTAGGCTCAAGTGATCCTCCTGCCTCAGCCTCCCATTTAGCTGGGATTACAGCCACGCATCACTACACCCAGCTAATTTTTTATTTTTTGGAGAGATGAGGGTCTCACTGTGTTGTCCAGGCTTGTCCTTCCTGCCCTTTAAAAGTACAGGTTGCAAATTTTTTTGTCTTAAGCATGAGTCATCAAAACTTGGTTGACCCGGTTTGTTTGTAGTGAAGCAAAAGCTTACAATGATAAAGCTAGCTCTGACCCCGTTGTCCCTTAATAGTGTCTATGCTTTAACTTTGCATGACTAATAGCATTGCAAGGCAGTCTGCTTTTACAATTCAGAATTAGAACCTTTTGGACTTTAAGACATCTTGTCTAAATATGTTACTTATCATCTTAATGTGAGGGATAATGTGCCTTATTGTTGAAATAATATAGTGTTACTTATTGATCAGTGTTTCTCTTCAGCATTGGATTTTATCCTGTTGGATCAAACGAAAAAAACAGATCTTATTGGAGTCTGAAGAGTGGTTTAAGAGTGGGTATATGTTTTAGTGTAAGGTAGGGATTCTTTGATAGAATATTTCTACTAGAACCTTGCTTCTTGCCAGATGCATTTTAGTAATTAGATTTAAACAAAAAAATTAAGTAGTAATTTAGCCTGCTTGAACTAAACCCCTTTGTGTTGCTCAAATTCGCCTTCTGCAGGGTGCACTCTCTGTGACCGAGCCTATCCCTCAGACTGCCCAGATCATGGACCAGTGACTTTTGTTCCTGACACTCCAATAGAGAGCAGAGCAAGGCTTTCTCTCCCAAAGCAGCTTGTTCTCCGGCAGTCAATTGTGGGAGCAGAAATTGGTAACAACCTTGAAACATAAAACCCCATCAAATCTCTTCTTCTTTTGTAGGGTAGGGTAGAGTGGTAAAAGTGGGTGTGCATATTTAATGACTATTGGGTTGAGCCAAAAGTCAATTTATGGCTTAAGATTTATGCTTTTAGAGAATATTTGTCTTAACCACTGATAATAGCAATAAATCAAGTTGAAAACTTTATTGGGAAACCTCTCCTTCCTTAGAATAAGGATTGAATTGAGTAAGGAACCCTGGCCTGAGTCTTTAAAGACTGACTTTTAGTCTCAGCTGTCCCGTCCACTAACATTATCCTAACACCACGTTTCTTGAAACTTAGTTTCTTTTATGGGAACATGGGAAATTTACCACTGATAACTTCATGGCACAAAGGATATTTAGATCAAATGTTTGTAAATTTTCTAATACTTCTTAAGACAAAGGAATAAGGAATGTACACTGTTAGAATGTTGAATTTGGCATGGCTCTGAGTTACTATGCCATTTTTTTGAAAATATGAAGTCAGGTTCATTATTCCTTTAGCTGCAGCTTGGGCATGAGTCATTCAAAAGTACCAAACAGCCTAGATAATACAGAGCAGTGCTTTAAGCATGAAATATTTTAGAAATTTGATTTATAGTAATTGCTTTATATTTTTACAGTAGAATAGTGTTTTCTGTTCTTTTTAATGTATTAACTCTGAAATAATATATTTGGAGAGACATGGTCAGGTTCCTTGTACATAAAACCAGATTCAGGAATTTCTGATATTGTTTATTACTCAGCATTTTTTTGAGCCCCATTCCATCTGTTTATTACATTTTATATGTTTACAGGCTAGTACCCACATGCTTAGTAAACTCTTAGGAGTGCTAGCATATGAGTTCTTAGGTTCACTGAAAATAAGATTCTTTGCATAGGTTAAGCACCTCTCTCATCTGTATCCTATAGTCCTTTAAATCATTGATTGCATAGTTCTTGTCCTTCCATTGATAGGTGTATGGACTGGAGAAACTATTCCCGTGCGGACTTGCTTTGGGCCTCTAATTGGCCAGCAGAGTCACTCTATGGAAGTAGCAGAATGGACAGACAAGGCAGTTAACCATATCTGGAAGGTCAGTGCTGATGAAACTTTTCTGTGACTTTTGGCTGTTTTTATTATGAGGTGGTAGGTTAAAAGCGATAATAAAGTCAAAATCAGCCAGGATTGATACAGTACCATTCACCTGTCCATCATTTATTTAATATTATATCCTTTCTATTATTCTTGCCAGCCAAGTTGTAATATATAACAAAGCACTAGCTATTGAAAATAGAGGACAAACCGTTTTAGTGTCCATTTTGTGAGATAATCCAATGGTTTTTAACAATTTTATGTGTTTTAGTCACTTGAGGCAACTGAGCCATAGACTTTGTTTATATGATGACAGTCTTATTTTGTAGTCAACTAAAACATTTCTCAAATATTTGCCTTGGAAAACAATTCTAGAATTACAAGCTGAGGTCAGGCATGGTGGCTCATAGTTGAAACCCCTGCACTTTGGAAGGCCAAGAGGAGGATCACTTGAGCCCAGGAGTTCAAGGCCAGCCTGGACAACATAGCAAGACCCCATCACTATAGAAAGACAAAACTAGCCAGGCATTATGGCATGCACCCTGTAATCCTAGCTACTTGGGAAACTGAGGCAGGAGGGTTCCTTGAGCATTGTATTCCAGCCTGGGTGATAGAGTGAGACCCCCATCTCTGACCAAAAAAAGGAAGGAACTAAGATTATTTTTCCAATGTGAGGGGCCAGAAATGTAATGTTTTGACATAAACAGCTATTCCTGTAATGTGTTTATGTAGAATCTTTCAGTCAATGAATTGGAAATGATGCCTGCAAAATTGAAATGAGGGGAAAATGGGTCTTGTGATAATTGGAGAGGTAAGGTATTACTATCACTGGGTACTTTAATTTTGGTATCTAAAATAGAACACAAGAATGCTGGGTCCAACTGGAAAAGTAATGAGAAGGGATGGTCCTCTGTCCCAGTGGGCATTCAGTCATTCACTTCCTACTGTGTGGTAGGTAATGAGAACAGGTAGACAAGTAGACTGGTTTTTGGTGTTTTCTAGACAAAAGACTGGTTTTTAGTGTTTTCTAGAAAAAAGGCTGATAATCAAGAATGAAGCCATTCCCTTTTCCAAGCACCAACTGTAGGTCTCTGATAGTCTTTACTGTATTGCTGGAAATAAGAGAACTGGTGAAATGACAAGCATGTTGGAGAAGGCAGTCATATAGTTTCACACTAACCAGAAAAGCTGGGACCTACTACAAATGAGCAAATGAGATCATTGCTGGCCTAAGTTTAGAGTAGTACTTTATCACTTGTCAGTTCATAGGACATGTATGTTTGGTTTTCTGTTGGCAGATATACCACAATGGTGTCCTCGAATTCTGTATCATTACAGCTGACGAAAATGAATGTAATTGGATGATGTTTGTGCGCAAAGCCAGGTAAGAGTAGTCTTGGATGACAGAAATAGTTACCATGATGACAGAAATATGTTTTTTAGTAGGAAGCTTTGCATAAAATAGGGAAGGGTCTGAGAATCCAAATCATACCAGTACCTGGACATACTTAAAGCTTAAGGCTTTTCAACTCTTCATTCTGGTAGTGGTTGACTAATGATGATTATAAATCCAAACATATGATACTGTCCTTTTTTATAACAGCTTATTCAGCTCACCAGTGCAATAAGGAACAGTATAGTCACCACTGAATTTGCAAATGGGTGCCTTTTCTTTATATTGGCTGTTAATCAACCCTTCAGACTGTTATTGAAGTTAATTCTTATTCCTCTAGTTCTGTGTCTCTGTCATAGTCAGGGTCTCACTCTGTTGCTCAGGCTGAAGTGCAGTGGCATGATCATGACTCACTGCATCCTTGACCTCCTGAGCTCAAGTGGTCCTCCTGCCTCAGCCTCTCGAGTCGCTGGGACTACAGGTGCACACCACCACACCTGGCTAATTTTTAATTTTTTTGTAGAGACAGGGTCTTGCTATGGTGCCTAGGCTGGTCTTGAGCTCCCGAGGTCAAGCAGTCTTCCTGCCTTGGACTCCCCAAGTGGTGAGATCATAGGTGTAAGCGCCTGTCCCCAGCCCATACTGCTTTTTTTTTTTTTTTTTAAATACATCATTTTATTTACTCTTTTTCCTTCCATTGAAGTAAGAATTCTGTTTCTCTACAAGTCCCTCCTAATAGGTAGGACAGGGAATTTTTTAAAGTTTCAGAGAAAATACTTCTTCCAAGCTTTCATATAGGATTTTGCCAGGGGGAGGGGGGAATGATGGCACTTAATTTACATCTCTAAATTAATATGGTTGATGTATTAAATGTGATAATTTAGGAACCGGGAAGAGCAGAATTTGGTGGCTTATCCTCATGATGGAAAAATATTTTTCTGCACCTCTCAAGATATCCCTCCTGAAAATGAACTACTTTTTTATTATAGTCGGGATTATGCTCAACAGATTGGTAAGTTAATGGAAGACTCACTCACTCTAGCATGTAAAAACACCAAGGATCAGAAATAAGGTCTGGTAATGATTTGTTTGTTAGCTGAAGCAAATCACATACTTTTACATGTATAAAAGAAACTCTGACTCCTATATTTGAGATGTTAAAGTCTTTGAGCTTCTTCATAAGCTAAATGTTTTTGCCCAAGCAGTATTCATATGAAAAGATCTTTTATGGTAGGACTTTGGTTTGCGGCTTTGAAGTTCCTAAGAGCTAGCACCATTGAGATTTAACTTCATAAACAACAAAATTCCTGTTTTTTGTTTGTTTGTTTGTTTGTTTTTGAGTTGGAGTCTCACTCTGTCGCCCAGGCTGGAGGGCAGTGGCACACTCATGGCCACCCCAGCGTTGACTTGCTGGGCTCCAACAATCCTCTGCCTTACCCTTCCAAGTAGCCGGAACTACAGGTGTACACTACTAACTACAGGCTAATTTTTTGTTTATTGTAAAGATGAGGTCTCGCCAAGTTGCCTGGGCTGGTCTCTGAGCCTGTGGGCTCAAGCAGTCCACTCCCCTCGGGCTCCCAAAGTGCTGAGATTACACGCTGAGCCACTAAGCCCAGCCCAAAGTTCCTTGTTTTGATAAAACCTGCATAGGCTTTCTCTTTGCATTTTCATGATGACAAATATTGTGTAAGAGTTTGTTGTGCTATAAAATTTAAATATTTTGCCTAGAAAAGAGGCTTTATAATCCAGTACTTACCAAGTGCTTTCTGTGTGCCTGGTACACTATTTTAAATGCTGGGGATAGAGCATTCAGTAAGACATTTTAGTTTTGCAGGAAGTAAGCAAGTTAGAAATTTTGGTGGAAGGAAGAATTTCAAGCAACAGTTAATATCAAGAACAAGTTTTAAGTATCAGAAGACATTGAGTAATTTTTTTTTAAGGTGTTCCTGAACACCCAGATGTGCACCTCTGTAACTGTGGCAAGGAGTGCAGTTCTTATACAGAGTTCAAAGCCCATTTGACCAGCCACATCCATAATCATCTTCCAAGCCAAGGTCACAGCAGCAGCCATGGGCCAAGCCACAACAAAGAAAGAAAGTGGAAGTGCTCGATGTGCCCCCAAGCTTTTATCTCTCCTTCCAAACTTCATGTTCACTTTATGGGTCACATGGGTATGAAGCCCCACAAGTGTGATTTCTGTAGCAAGGCTTTTAGTGACCCCAGCAACCTGCGGACCCACCTCAAGATACATACTGGTAAGTTGTATTGGACCATCACAATGGAATTTTTGCAGCAGTTAGTAAAGGCTTTGCAGAGGGATGTTATTGTGGGTAGATTTGCGATGTGATGTCAGAGAAAGAATCCAGATGGCTGTCGGCAGGACCTCATTGGTAAACCAGGTAGGGCAATGAATTCTTTGTAGGGTGTCATTTCAGTTATTAAGATGCTCTGCTTTCCAGGGGCTTCCACCATAGTTTGAAGGTGTCTGGAAAAATGCAGTTAATAATCAGGAAGTTAATCATTCACCAAAGTTTGAAGGTGCCTGGAAAAATGCAGTTAATAATCTGGAAGTTAATTAATGTGTTTGGACTTAAACAAAATGAATTCTGTAAAAGCAGCCTGAGCTTCCCATTAGATGCCTGGTCGCCAGCCAGAACCAATTTCTGTCTTAGAGGGGTCTTGTTTTTACATTCTTGTACGGATTTTATTTCATCCCTGATTTACGAGGTTATATGTTTAAAGAAGATAGAGGAGCCAGGCTTGGTGGCTCAGCCTGTAATCCCGCGTCTTTGGGAGGCTGAGGTGAGTAGATTGTCTGAGCCCACGGGTTCGAGACCCGCCTGGGCAGCGAGACCTCATCTCTACAATAAATCAAAAAATCAGCCGGGTGTGGTAGTGCATGCCTGTAATTGCGGCTACTTGGAAGGCTGAGACGGAAGGATCGCCAGAGCCCAGCAGGTCGAGGCTGTGGTGGCCGGGAGTGGCCACTGCACTCCAGTCTGGGTGACAGAGTGAGACTCCAACTCAAAAAAAAAAAAAGAAGAAGATAGAGGCCAGGCAAGATGGCTCATCATGCCTGTAATCTTAACACTTTGGGAGACCAAGGCAGGCAGGAGAGTTGCTTGAGGAGTTCAAGATCAGTCTAGGCTGTATAGCAAGACCCCGTCTCTATTTATTTGAAAATAAAAAAAAAAGAAGAAGAGAGAAGACTATTTTTTTTTTTGAGTTGGAGTCTCACTGAGTCACCCAGACTGGAGTGCAGTGGCTGCTCCCAGCCACCGCAGCCTCGACCTGCTGGGCTCCGGCGATCCTTCCACCTCAGCCTTCCAAGTAGCTGGAACTACAGGCGTGCGCTACCACGCCCGGCTGATTTTTTTATTTATTGTAGAGATGAGGTCTCACCAAGTTGCCCAGGTGGATCTTGAACCCGCGGGCTCAGGCAATTTACTCACCTCGGCCTCCCAAAGTGTGGGATTACAGGCTGAGCCACCGAGCCTGGCCAGAGAGAAGACCTTTAAGTGTAGCTTGTAAAAACATTTGCCTGTAGTCAAGTTCTAGAATTCATGAGGTTTTTTTTTGTTTAATAATTGTGTGAGGTAGGGCATTAGGATTATGAGTGATGTTTTTTCACATCTTTTATTGAGTATTAGCTATAAACATATTTTTAGGTCAGAGGTTCTAAAGGAGGTCAGAATTATTAGCTTTACAAGCTTTAGTTGCAGAATGTAAACTCAGTGGTTCTAAATAGACAGTCCTAGAAAGTAAAATTCCATTCACCGGTCAGCTCTGCTTTATTTCTGCCTCTGCTGCAAGACCCAAACATGTACCAGTGTGTCTTGAGAATGTCACCAGTAGTTTTATTCACATTGTGATAATTTGGGCCAATTTGCAGGTCAGAAGAACTACAGGTGTACGTTGTGTGACAAGTCATTTACCCAAAAGGCTCATCTGGAGTCCCACATGGTTATCCACACCGGTGAGAAGAATCTCAAGTGTGATTACTGTGACAAGTTATTTATGCGGAGGCAGGACCTCAAGCAGCATGTGCTCATCCACACACAGTAAGTCACCCTGTAGCCCTCAGGTGGTGAGCCATTATGTGACTATAGCCAAACCTGCCAGCCTGAGGGCTTGGAAGTACTGACTCATCATCTGTCTCCTGTCTGAGTATCCTGGGAGATTCCTCCTGTGTTCCACATAACTAAACCAAGGTTGGAGCACTAAGTTTTTGGTTTTATCCCAGAAGATTTTGCATGCTTGCTTTTTTTCTTGTTTTCCACAGTATACTCTCTGTTTTATTCTTATTCATCCTTTTAACATATAATCTCATCTATTAATTTAACAAACGTTTTTAAGTGCCTCCTTGTTGCCCAGCATTGTGCTAGATGGTAGAAATAGAGAGATGAGAGATACTGTCTTTAAAGAGCTCAAAGTCCAGTAAGAGAAGCAGACAGGTAAACATTTATCATACTGTGTTGCAATTGTTAGAGTAAACACTGGATGCTGAAAGACTGTACCTAACTCAGCCTAGGAGGATCTGGGAAAACTCCCTGGTAGTTTGAGCAAGTCTTAAAGAGGATAAATCAGAATTATTCAGGGAGACAAAAAGTAAGGAATGAGGATGTATTTTAGGGTAATGGCGTAAGCAGAAACACAGATGCAGAAAGGACTCTTGAATGTGGGTGGTTTTGTATAGCTAGAGCAGTATGCATATAAGAGAGAGATGGGGAGAGGCAACAGCCACACCATGAAGAGCCTTTTGTCCTAGTAAGAAAATTAAATTTCATTTTAGAAATAATGGGGGACCACTGACAGATCTACCACCCCCCTTCAGGAAATGTTATGTTGTTCTCTGTGTATGTGTATTAATTGTAATTTTTAAAATTGTACCATATTAACCATTTTTCAGTGTCCGGTTCAGTAGTGTTGATTATGTTGTTGTGTAAGCACTGAAGGATTTTAAGGAAAGGACTGTCATTACTCTGGCAGCTAGACAAAGGTGATTGACAGAGAAGATCAAATATTAGAAAACCAATCAGGAATGTATTACATGAATCAAAGTGTAATTAAATATCCAACCTGCATTAGTCACAGTGGTGGTAGAGAAAAGAAATAGATTTTGTGGTCCTCAGCTTTTACCAAGTGTTAAAAGAAGGAGAACACTTTTTAGCTTATATTATAGAGGTATTCTTTAGAAATGCATATTCACTGAAAACTTTATATTCTTATTGTAAAATTTGGAAAAACACTTTGCTTTGATATCAGCTCTTTTCGTCTGCTTCCTAATCACAATGCGACCTTCTCTCTCCATTTCTCTCCCCATCTGTGGTATTTTGTTACGGTGACCCAAGCTGACTAGGCAGGCTGTCTGACTAGATGATCCTACAGACCTCGTTCACTAGCATTTCTAATACTATACAATTCTATATAATATTTAATAATTCATGTGTCTAATTTTCCAAAATTTCACACTAATAATAAAACGAATGAAAACTTTGTTTTAAACGTGGTTTCCGTAACACTGCCCGATATAATTGCCTAGGGAATATGAATTTTGTTTCAGGGTCCTACCCCTGGGAATTCTAATTTAATTGGTCACTGGTAGAGCCCTGACCTTGGTATTTTAAAAAGCTCCCCAAGTGACTCTTAGTCCAACCAGGGTTAAGAACGACTGAGCTTGTCCAAGTGAAAGACTGATTTCCATAATATCTCTGGCAAATGGATATATTATTTCTTATCACACAGCTGTAGTTTTGAGGGAAGGTTTTGCTTGAATCAAGCTGATACAACCCTTATTTTTTCATTTTACATCTGCTTAACAAATGTGCTTTTGAACTCTTTGTCAGGATGAGGAAATATAGTAAGCCTCTTTGCCAAACTCTCCTGGGATAGAAAGAAGGTTTTTTTAGACTTTTAAAACTTAAAACTGGTGTAAGTCAGTCATATAAAAAACACTATTCACTCAAAATATTTTAGGCTTCCTATGGAGATCATTGGTATAGTGGCATTCATGTTATTTATCTTTTTTTTTTTTTTTGAGTTGGAGTCTTACTCTGTCACCCAGGCTGGAGTGCCGTGGCACGCTCATGGCTACCGCAGCCTTGACCTGCTGGGCTTAGGCAGTCCTTTCACCTTAGCCTTCCAAGTAGCTGGAACTATAGGCACTACCACACCCGGCCTATTTTTTGATTTATTGTAGGGACGAGGTCTCATCAAGATGCCCAGCTGGTCTCCAACCCCCTGGCTCAGGCTATCCTCTCACCTTGACCTCCCAAATTGCTAGGATAAAAGGCTGAGCCACCACACCCAGCCTGCTTAAAAAGAAAACAACTGCAGCACTAATGCCAAATGTAGAAGTTCCTCTCCCACAGTGTTTCCCCGAGAGTGAGATGGTTATAACAAACTGGCTTTGCCCTTCTTCCAAGAAAGAGGAACTCCAGAGCACAAGTAGTGATGCTGACTTCCTAGGTCTTCTCGTCTCATGGCTTTACATGCCAGCTTTATGATTTATGTCTCCAGCCTCATATGTCTCACCGTAACTCAGCAACTCTAATGCTTTGGATGTCCACTAACGTGGACAAAGCTAACGTGTCCAAAAACAGCTCTAATATTACCCTACAAACCTGGTAATTTCTTATCACACAGCTGTAGTTTTGAGGGAAGATTTTGCTTGAATCAAGCTGATACCAACCCTTATTTTTTCATTTTGCATCTGCTTAACAAATGTGCGTCTGGACTCTTTGTCAAGATGAGGTCCAGTGATCACCAGCCCATTAAATGGTACCACTATTCACCCCAGTGACTCAAGACAGACACCTTGGAGTAATCCTCAACTCACTCTTCCCTTCCTTCATTCCATCCGTTTCTACACCACCGTGTTCTACATCACCAGCTTCTCTTGTATGGGCTGCTTCAGTAGTCTCCCAGGTGACCTCCTCTCTGCTACTGCTCTTATCTTTCCTCATCTGTTCCCCAACATTGTGCACACGCACACAAACACCACATTCCATCCATAGTGTCACAGTGTTTTGTTTCAGGTGTAAATCAGCTTGTGCCTGTCTCCATTCATAAGCCTCTCTTAAGGCTTTTGTCATATTTGTGTTAAAGGGCTTTCCTGTAGTCGAGAAATCTCTTCATGATGTGGTCATGGTTCTTGGCTACCTCCCCCACTTCATCTTTTATTACTTTTCTCCTCATATTCTGCCTTTACCTTGCTGGCTCTCCGCTTGCTACTACCTGAGCATACTAAACACATTTCAGTCTCAGGGCCTTTGCACTATACTGCCTCTGTCTAGAAACTTCTCCCCTAGATGCTTGCATGTCTTCCTCCCACTCTTCTTTCAGGTTTTTACTCAAATGTTATCTCCTCGGAAGGGCCTTTCTTGACTATCTTATCTAAAACAGGACCCTGTCCCTCTTACCTGGCTTCATTTTTTTCATAGTCCTTATTGCTATCTGAGATCATATCATGTACTCTTTATTTGTTTATGGTGTAACCTCTCTACTAGAATGTAAGCTCTATGAAGGAAGGGACTTAGTTTATATGTCCTATAGCCCCAGCATCTAGAATAGTGACTGGCATATGTTAGATATACAGTAAATATGTATTGAAGGGACATGTAAAAACCAGTGAACTGGAAGATGAGACTTCTAGATTCGTTTTGTTGTGGCCTTAGGCAAATTACTTAATTTTCATGCATATGATGTTTCTTATCTGCAGAATTAAAAGGTTGTATTAGGCCAGGTGTGATGGCTCATGCCTGTAATCCCAGCACTTTGGGAGGCCAAGGTTGGGGGATTGCTTGAGCCCAGAAGTCCAACATCGCAAGATCTCCTCTCTACAAGTCAAAAAATTAGCCGGGCATGATGGTGTGTACCTGTAGTCCCAGCTACTCAGGAGGCTCAGGCAGGAGGATTGCTTGAGCCATGGTCACGTTGTTGCACTCTATCCTGGCTGAGAGTGAGACCCCCAGCTCAGAAAAAAAAAGTTTGTATTAGATTGGTGGTTTTAAAACTGTTCCAGGGAATTCTAAGGCTCCATAGAATTCTTCAGTGTCATCTCTTGCTCTAGGAGAGGATTGTAGAAATGCTCAGTAGGCCAGGCTTCAGAACTCCTCTCTGCACCCTGCCACTCCTTCAAGTATTTTAACCCCTTTTATCTCTTTCATATTTAGGCTTTCATTAAGACATAGGATTCAGCTGCTCGAAAAAAAATTCCTGGTCTCTATGACTTTAACATCTTTTCAACTTTACTGTGTCTAGGCCAGGATTACTCAAACCTCGGCACTATTGATATTATATATTGATGTTAGTTTTTTGTTGTGAAGGCTGCCCTCTGCATTGTAGAATGTTTAGTGGCATCCCTGGCCTTTTCCTACTAGATATAAGCTGCACTGCCCCTCCCCAGGTATGACAATCAAATGCCTTCAGACATTGCTAAATACCTCTATGGAACCAGTCACCCCTTGTTGTTGAGAACTACTAGCCTAAAAAAGGACAGAAAAAAGTAGTGTTCAGGGAAATACAAATTAAAACTTTTTATCCACTGACAATTTGGCAAATATTTTCAAATTCGAGTCTTTCAGTTGTTGGTGAGAATATGGGACAGCAGAAACTCAGTCATGGGTGTGTATATTGAAATGTCTGCATTGGAAAACAGTTTGGCATCATCTTGTAAAGTTGAAGATGTGCATATCTTTTGACCTGACTGTATTGCTCTCAAGTAGATACCTAGAGAAACTCATACATATGTGTAAGTACAAGCATAGAAATGTTCAAAAGCTGGGTAGGTGGCTCACAGCTATAGTCCCAGCAACGCGGGAGGCAGAGGTGGGAGATGTAACTTGAGTCCAGGAATTCAAGGCTGTAGTACGTAGTGAATAGTCATTGCACTCCATGCCTATGAATAGTCATTGCACTCCAGCCTGGGAAACATAGTGAGACCCAGGTCTCTTGGGGGGAAAAAAAAGGTTCATAGCAGTCTTGCTTGTGTTAATAAAAAAACTGGCCCAAATGACCCAAATATCCATTAGCAATAGACAAATCAGTACCACAGATAAATTGTGGTATGTTTGTTAATAGTATACAACAATATAAGAGAACTACTGGTACTTAACCGCAACCTGAATAAATTTTACAAATATACCGAGTGAAAAAAGCAAGACAAAAGAAATATCTATAGTATGGTCCTATTTACATAGCATTCTAAAACAGGCAAAAATCAGCCTATGTTGTTTAAACTATACAAATGTTTCATGACTCTTCTATATGATATGTCTCCTATTAAAAAAAAATAAAAGCCTGATTCTAGAAGCGTAGAACTTCTCAAGGTCCAAGGTTGTGACGCAGCATGAGTGTGTGCCTCAGTTGTCATTTGTAACCCCAAATCAAATGTTTTTCCTTGTGTTCCTGTTAGAGAACGCCAGATCAAGTGTCCCAAGTGTGATAAGCTGTTCTTGAGAACTAATCACTTAAAGAAGCATCTCAATTCTCATGAAGGAAAACGAGATTATGTCTGTGAAAAATGTACAAAGGCTTATCTGACCAAATATCATCTCACACGCCACCTAAAAACCTGCAAAGGGCCCACCTCCAGTTCATCAGCACAAGAGGAGGAAGAAGAGGATGACTCAGAGGAAGAAGATCTAGCAGACTCTGTGGGGACAGAAGACTGTAGGATTAACAGTGCTGTATATTCGGTGGATGAGTCTCTCTCTGCACATAAATAAAAGCAAGCTATTTTGGATGGAAAATGTAAAGGGAAAAACACATAGCCAGTTATCCACTACAATGGTTTTTATATAAAGTGGTTCCTGATTTCTTTTCAGCCAGTAGTCAAAACAGACTGAATGGGAATGGATAAAGCACTTACAGAAGAGTATCCTAATGAAAACACTTTAAAGAAGATTGGGAAAAGAGAGCATGTGTCCTGTTTTTAAGTGAAAGATGGAGAGGAAAGTATCATCTTTTGAGGTCTGTTCTTTATTTACGTGATAATTTTGGAGATGATTTTTTTTTTTTTTTTTTGAGTTGGAGTCTCACTCTGTCGCCCAGGCTGGAGTGCAGTGGCACGCTCACGACCACCCCAGCATCAACCTGCTGGTCTCCAGTGATGCTTCCGCCTCCGCCTTCCAAGTAGCCGAAACTACAGGTGCGCGCTACCACGCCCAGCTAATTGTTTTTTTTATTTATTGTAGAGACAAGGTCTTGCCAAGTTGCCTGGGCTGGTCTCAACCCCTGGGCTCAGGCAGTCCACTTGCCTTGGCCTCCCAAAGTGCTGGGATTACAGGCTGAGCCACGGAGCCTGACCTAGGAGATGAATTTATGCTTGAGTTAAAGTTGCCTTCTGCCCACACAAATCAATTTCATGTTCTTCCATTATTTCATTTTCCTGCTGGCCCTATGACTTGGTAACACTTTAAACTTGGTCTCAGCCCCATAGCTGTCCCAGGTGTTGATTATGTTTTAAGGAGACTTGTGACTTTTACTCCTCCCAGAATGGACTGGAACAAAGTAGCATAAGTGTGTTACTTTGCAGCTAACAGATTTAAAGCAACACCTGCCTTAACTTCTCCTGGCTACTTGGGAGTTTAGGGTAGATCTTGTGTCCCACATTTTCAGCAGGTCCCTAGAGGACAAAAAAGGAGCAGGCAGTCAGTAGGCAGTGATAGAGAGAAGGAAAGAATGAGAGATGCCTGGCCTCTGTCTAAAAACTAGCTTTGATGGAAGCTAGAACAGGTCACCTGATTATTGTCACATAGAGATCTTTTTAGGTTTAGATACGTTGTCTCCCTGCCTCCAGTAAAGCTCTCAGCCATTCAGACAAAGGGGCCCTGGAGATATAGAGAACCCAGATAATGCCTACTGGGTTGTCTCCTGATGCCAAGTCCATGTGGACTCACCTAACAAAGTGACACCTCAGTCCATGGAGGAGAAGGAAGAGAATGAGCGTTTACGCTTGGTCTACCCTATAAAAAGTATTAAGAAACCATTAAAATATTGCCAACTCAAAACAACTGACTCCAAATGCATTAATGCATTTGAAAGGTCAGACCTTTTCAGTTTTCTCTGTGCTGAAGAACCTCACCTAAGAAGCACAGAAGATGTACAAGGGTTTGGAAGGTAAAGAAGGCTTAGTGGTTACCACCTGGGCCCGTTTCAGGGTTCCACCTTGGCTAATTCATCTGTCCACCCGGTCTTTGTGTCTCACATGCACATCCAGCTTTTAGCAAGAAGCAGATCCATTCTTAAGTTGACAGGGTTGATGGAACATGCTCTCCTGCTCAAAGGCACAACCTCTGGGCTGGAGTAGAGGACTCTGGTGGGAAGGTTTTGCTGCTAATGTATTTATAGAATGAATGTATTTCATTCAAATCTGTATTCCTCTAGGAAGGATTAAAGTAAAAACTTTTTTAAAATATAAGATTCTTATAGTCTCATTTTGTGGAGGAAGGAGATGAATGAGTCTTCTGTGGAAAATTAAGTATAATTTGAGTTTTTCTGAGGTTAGAAAGGAAGAAAGAATTTCTTAAGTATTGTGGCTTTGAGAGCATACTCTGGTGGTTTCTGTGTAATGATGATTACACAAACTAGGCTTCCTGAGTTTCCACCTCTCTTCTGCCCTCTTCCTCCCTGAGGTGTAGTGCCTTTGCTGCCTTCTTGGAGAACTGTGGCAGATCTATAGCTGAGGATGGAGTTGGGGCATTGTGGGTAGTTGGGGTGCTCTGGTGCCTGGGGCAGCTTCAAACTCAGCCTTTTGCCAAAGGCATCCTCGCGGCAGGCTTCCCCTGTCCCTGGGAAACCTCTGGTGCTGGAAACTACCAGCTCCTTTTCTTCCATTATCTCGGTATCAGGTATGAGGTTAAATTCCTTCATTTCCCAACGCTGAGATGATGCTCAGAATAGTTAAGCCTGTTTTCACAAACACAAAAACAGCAGAGGAAGCCTAGAAAACTGAGTGAGAATGTAACTTTTATTGCTTATTATTTATAGCTATCTCTACCTTTTAGTTTTCAATGGCACATTCTAAGTCATTCTCACAAGATGAATACATTAGTACATCAGTTACTGCCCTTTATTTTTATTTATTTGGTTTTTTTTTAAAAGAGTACTTTATTTTATTTACTTTTTTTTTTTGCGTCGGAGTCTCACGCTGCTGCCCAGACGGAGTGCAGTGGCACACTCACAGCCACTATAGCCTTGAACTGCTGGGCTCAGGCGATCCTTCTGCCTCAGCCTTCCAAGTGCACTACCACACCCAGCTAATTTTTTGATTTATTGTAGAGACGAGGTCTCGCCATGTTGCCCAGGCTGCTCTCTAATCCATGGGCTCAGGCAATCCTCTCGTCTCCACCTCGCAAAGTGCTGGGATTACAGGTGTGAGCCACCACGCCCAGCTTAGAAACTGCCCTTTAAACAGGATTGTACTCTAAGCCTTCTCTGCTTGTTGCAGATGCCTCACCTGCTGCTGCTATTGGGTAGATGGTCATGTTGAGAGGCAAGTTGTTGAGTGAGCTCTGGAGCCCCACTGAATGTTTTCTAATCTGGACTTTGCTGTATGATGCTGGTTTTTAACCTTGGCCAATTTATGTAACCTCTCTGTGCCTCTTGACTTATTAATAGGTATTAAGAAAAGTTCCCATTTCATATGTTGTTTGGATGTCAGGTTAGTTGATATGTATCAGTGGCTACCACGGTGCTTGAAATACAGTCAACAGCAGTAGCTAGTATTCTTCAGTTTCTTATCAGTCTAGATTTATCATATTAGCATAGATTGCTATGTTTTAAAAAATACACTGGCCTATAGATAATCCAAGAAGCCCTAGATTTTAGTAATACAAGTTTAAGTTTTCGAGGCCAAATCTTAGAAACTAGTTAGTAGTTTTGTAGGTCAGTGATGTTTGGTGTTCCCTTTCTTACAAGGTGAGTTGCTCATAATCCTTTCACATGTGGTGCTGAAGTCCTCAACCACATCAGTGACAAAGAGATGACGAGTTGGAGTCTCTCTCAGGCTCTTCAGACTGATGACATGTATATGTACTTTCTAGTGTACACTCCTGTACTGTGTCCTGAGAAGCATGTATGCAGAAGCTGTCAGGCCCTCATCGAGTATGTGCACTGAATTATCCGATCACTCAACTGCATTCTGGAGGCAGATGCTGAAGAATGACATCATATCTTTATGCGCACAAGTGATTACTGTCTATTACAGGATGCTTAGGGAAACCCAAACAGGGTTTTTCCCTCTGTTCTCACACCATAATAATCATCAACACTGAAGTCTGGGACCAAATGTGGGAGTTTCTCCCCATCACTGAGCAGCAGATATCAGCTGGGTATCTTTCCATTCAGTTTCAACTCTACCTGGAGGTAGTGTCAGATCCCATAGGGTGAGATCTCAGTCCTACAAGACTGCTTCCCCTGCCCCGACACCAGTCACAAATCTGGGCCTCCAGAACATCTGAACAGCTTTGAGTTGGGATTCCCACAACCCCCTTTGAGTTCGATTACTTTGTGGAAGTGGCTCACAACTCAGAAACTACCAGTTTATTATAAAGGATTGCAGAAGACCCAGATGAAGAGACACGAAGGGCGAGGTTTGGGGAAAGGGTCACGGAGCTTCCATGCCCTCCCTGAGTGGCACCCTCCAGGAGCCCCTCTACCTGTTCAACTGTCTGGAAGCTCCTTGAACCCAGTTCTCTTGGGTTTTCGTGGAAGTTTCAAGGCAGAAACATTTCTTCCCCCAGGGAACAGGTTCAGACTCTCTCTGGGGAGAGTCAAGACCCACACTCAGAAAGGCAAAGGAAGACCAGATTCCTGTCTTGGGGAGGTGAAAAGAGGACTGGAAGTCAGAGAGATTGCTTCTCAGGCCTGCTCCTGTGGCCTAACACACTCATCATAATAAGACTATAACAAGGGCTATGGGCGCTCTGAACCAGGAGCTGTGACTGAAAACCAATATATGTATCAAACCACCCCATGTAGGATTGTATCCTTCTCCCACCCCTTACCACCAACAAAGTCATATGCTGAAGTCCTAACCTCCTGTACCGCAGAATTTGTTTGGTCTTTATAGAAGTAATGAAGTTAAAGTGAGGCCCTTAAGTTGGGCCCTAGTCCAATATGACTGGTGTCCTCATAAAAAGAGAACTTTTGGACATGGCCTCATACAGAGGGAAGATGGCCATCGTGAAGCTCAAGGGCAGAGGCCCAAGGTAGATCCTTTACTCACAGCCCTTAAAACAATCCTGATGACACTTGGTCTTAGACTTCTAGCCTCCAGAACTGAGAAATAATACCTTTATCTTGTTTAGGGCTCCAGACTGTAATAATTTGTTGTGGCAACCCTAGTAAGCTAAACGCTGCCTGACCCAGTATACCCTCTTTATAATGATTCCTTATAGAGGAGCAGCTTCCAGAATAGTGATTGCAATTTAACCTCAGTTTTACAGATTATCAGGAGCAATAGAAAAGGCAGTAACAATTTGTAGTGGTCTATGTTGCCACCAGCAGATTTCGCCACTACTTAAAGGGACGGTATTGCCCCTGGACTTTTTTTGCTCCTTAGTTTTTAGTGCATATGCATACTTGGGGGATCATCAGGCACTCAAGCCTGTGTAGTCCTCACACAAGGACAGCTTTCTTTCCAAAAACCATGTATGAGGTACCAGCACCATTTAAGGCATTGTAGGGGGAACAGAAAAATGGCTAGGACTCTGCCTGTCCATGGATACTC